CCCCCCCCCACTCCTTCATTACTATTGGGGAGGGAGAGAGGGTAACCTGTATGGATCTGCATGTTGCTCCATGTTATAGAAAGTGAAATAAGCTTCTGCTAAATAGACCGCTAAACTCAAATGGTGACTTAACCCTTTTATTGATTTGGTGAAACTTTTATAGAATCTGTGAATTTTACTTTTTTTCAGGTTGCCATTGAACTAGAGTATGCTAAAAGTATGTTTGATCTACACAAAAAATCACACCCAAATGATGAAATTGTAGGCTGGTGAGTAAATGTGCTGCTTATGATATCCTCTAGATTATTCACGTGGTGTCACAGATTGGAGAATTCTCCACTTGATTGTAGAATTCTTTTGCTAAATGTCAATCACTTGAGGTTTTTTCTTAACTTGAAAAGTTTTTTCTTTCTTTTCCTGTTGATTAACAATTTTTACTTTTACTTTTTTTTTTTTTTTAACAATTTGAACATGTTCTATAGTTTTTGAAGTTGATTACAAAATGTATGGTGAGTTAAGGGTGTGATTTGAGAGAAATTTTGGTCAAAATGTATCTTGCAATAGACATAGAACTTCTTGTCAAGGACATTAAAAATAGATACACTGTGGTTAATGCAAAATTCTGGAAACATTGACATCTACAAGTATCATGAAAAAGCATGACGGCCTGCTGTAACCACAGTGGATCTATGAGGAAACAATATTACTTGTCTGAATAATGATGTCAACAACACAACAAGGGAATCCTAAATTAGACTACATTGACTATTACATAATGACATAAAAAGTATTATCGTTTATGATTAAATTTGAAAGAGGGAAGATGACTGTAAGTGGAAGAATTAGATGTAGAGAGGATTTTTATGGCTGAAGAGATTTTTTTTTAGGAAAGATCTCAGTTATGTCAAATGAACATGCAAAATGCAGCAATAGAAGCTGACCATCTAGCTGCGCAAATGTGATATATACATTTATATAATTATTCAACCTCATAACCTGGCAAAGATTGGCAGTGTTAACCCTTTTACTCCCAAGATCTCATTAGTAATTTTCCTTACTGTCTGCCATACAGTTCTTGTGATGTTAGTTTTGAGAATTTGGTATTGGATCAACTAACAATCCTCTAGCTGATATTTTTCTTACTCTCATCACTTATCTGCTTGATACTGTATTGTTACTGTAAGGAGCAATTCTGTCTTGGTCACGTACATGTAGGGGAGTTAAAGGCAGTTGAAATGTTACAAATCTCAATCGATAGTTTCACTATGCAAATCAATATTGACTCTGAGGGGCAAGACTAATGATTTAACTTTCTTTAACAGATATAACAATTATGGATGAAGAGATTCCTTGCAATGCTTCATTAAAAATTTGTGTTTTGGATTGTTTCTAGGTATGCTACAGGCTCAGATGTCACAGAACATTCTTTGCTCATTCATGAATACTATTCACGAGAGGCAACCAATCCAGTGCATGTTACAGTGGACACTACACTTAAAGGTTCTCGCATGGGAATAAGAGCTTATCAGAGGTGGGTTGCTTTAGATACAACTTGTGCCAGGTCTTTTAAGTTTTGTATCAGTGTCTTGGGAATTTGCTTCTGATTACTCTGGTTGTATCAACATTGGTACTAAGTCTAATAGTGATCATGGAAAACAAGCCAGGAAAACTTGTTCTCTAGGCCTGTCTACTTTCAGTTTGGGATGGTGTGAGGTGTCTTATTTATTAATTTTGTGTATTTCTGCTTGATAATAGGTAATAGATTATTAGGAAAAATAGAATGAGCGTGGAATTTCAATTGAGCTCACATTTATTATTACTTAAAACTTTCAAAGTATAACCTGAATCATGAAAAACATTTGCATTTATGCAATTTCCCATATGTATGCTTTAATCATTATGATGACAATGATGAGAGCATCACAAAGATAATACTTTTTGGCCAGCAAAGCACAGTGTGGTCACTGGTCTGGCTGGTCTGATCAGACTTACCATAATTAGCCATACACATTTTTTTTTTGTGCCCATATTTGATCTGAATATGTTTTTGTACAGCTGTAAGATGGGAGTTCCTGGAAAGACAGAGGGAACCATTTTCTCACCAATCCCTTGTGAGGTTATACTTACTGGGCCTGAGAGAGTAGGAGGTAACATGTACATGTATCATAATCCAAACAAACATTAATTGGTGATTGTATATAGAATAAGAGAGATAGTAAGTTTTGAGCTTGGTAAAAATGACACAGTCCTACCATTGCTTATCCTAGCAGTGTGCAGGATTCATATCATATGAAGTTTGTAATAAACCTAGCTCATCGTAGAGTCTCTGTGGCTCAGTGGTAGAGCATCAGAGCATGGAATCCAAAGGTCTGAGGTTCAATTCCTCATGGGAACTCAGAATTTTTTCTTCGTCTTACACTCATGATAAGACTAAAAATCATCTTTCTCTACTATTTAATGATATTTGCTTGAAAAAATATTGAACAAGAAGTTTCAGGAGCTGTTAAGGATCTTGGAAACTGATGTCAATTGTTTACAGGGCGTGAAATTAATTTTTTTTTTCAAATAGCCACTTGGCTAAAGTTGCCCCCATCTTCAAAGACAAACAAAACCTTTTTTATGCTGTCAGCCTTCTAGAAAGAGCTTTCAAAATTAAGTTAGGGAAAAGATCTTTAACGTGCTGCAAAGTGGACACTAGGATGGAAGATATACAATGTTCAGGCTCACCTAGATCCAAGATGGCCTCTATGTATCAATCGAGATGCAAAAATTTAGTGACATTGGCACCTGTATTAGGTGCAATTTCACACCCTGGTTTATTACCAGGGCCTTATAAAAATACTTTGGCCTATGCTCAATTCTGAATGCACTTTAAACAGTTATTAAATTTTCCATAATGATAACAAGATTAGGTTAATCATTGACAGCCAAGTAAGCAATGTACTGTGTAAAGCTGTACTGTAAATGTGTTTTATTATCGTCATCATGGTCATATACATTGTAGCAATGATGTTGATGACAATGATGACAATTGTGTGGAATTTAACCAAGATATTGTATGATTGTCAATTCTCCCTTCTAGCTGCTACACATTTTCTTGTAACTCAGTTAGGAGAATGTGATGTTAGATCAGGACAACAACTTCTACGAGATGTTTTTAGTGTTTTTATTACATGTTTGCTGGATAATGTAAGAATCATTACAGGGAGAAGTTTCATGTTAACCCTTTAACTCCCATGAGTGACCAA